TCTCCCCTTCTTCTTTTTTATGTTTGTTACTCTCTTGTAACACCTCTAATCTTCTGGCGCTCATATGACCTTATGCAGTTGCCAGCGCCGTAAAACCTCTACTAAAACTAAACTAAACTTGCGTTTTTACCTATTTTAAAAAAAGTTCTAAATGTATAAATTGTTTCTCGCTCAGATCGTCAACTCTGGCTGCAGCTACTTTGCCGACTTCTGGAACGTTCTGGACCTGCTGCTCATCTTCATGGCGGTGCTGTGCTCGGTGTTCAACGTGCTGCGAGCCACCATCGTCGACAAGAAGCTCAGACAGCTCCTGGAACAGCCCAACGAGTACGCCAACTTCAACTTCCTGGGCTTCTGGGAGACCCGCTTCAACAACGCGGTGGCTATCATGGTGTTCCTGGCTTGGGTCAAGGTCGGTTCCTACTTTACGGTCCTGTACAGCCTAGAAAAATAGTTCCCTCTGGGGAAAGTATTATCTTATCTTACCTTACCTTATCTTTACCACTGCTCTTAGTCTCTATGGTGATATGGTTCTGGTTCAGGGATGCCAAATCTCCGGGTTTTCCCCACACTTGCAAAGGAAAGGGCAATGGTAAGAGAGATGTTTGGTTTGCTCATTGAAAGATTTGACAAGGTTCGGTTTAGGTGAGGTGTGATGCTCCGCTCATTTTCCGGTTTTTTTTTCAAGAATCATTTGGCATCCCTGAGGTTTTATCTCTAGCATAAGGCTATTGTCAGAATAAGCATAGATGTGTATTGCTCTTTAGAGTATGTATCTGTATACTATATATATTTAATATAAAATTTAAATTTTTATGTATACCTGCATGTGTTTTTACTGTTCTGTACAGCCAAAAAAACGTTCCCTCTTGGATAATAAAGTGTTATCTTATCGTATCTTATCTTTTACACCGGTCTTAGTCTCTGTGGTGATATGGTCTTGGTTTCATCTCGAGAGAAAATTATTTGAAAGACGAGATCTCTATTTAAGTTGGATGGCTTTTCTCCTCAACAATGGAAGGCCATATTGGACATTTTCCTCTGCAGTTGAAAGATGAGGCTTCTGCTTAAATGTCCATCTCTAATAAGACAGGGGCTAGAAGTACTCTTCCAAAGAAACCAAGTCATGTATAAATTGTTTCCATGTGTTTAAGTACATCAGCTTCAACAAGACCATGACTCACCTGTCTGTAATGTTCCAGGTGTTTAAGTACATCAGCTTCAACAAGACCATGACTCACCTGTCTGTAATGTTCCAGGTGTTTAAGTACTTCAACAAGACCATGACTCACCTGTCTGTAATGTTCCAGGTGTTTAAGTACATCAGCTTCAACAAGACCATGACTCACCTGTCTGTAATGTTCCATGTGTTTAAGTACTTCAACAAGACCATGACTCACCTGTCTGTAATGTTCCAGGTGTTTAAGTACATCAGCTTCAACAAGACCATGACTCACCTGTCTGTAATGTTCCATGTGTTTAAGTACTTCAACAAGACCATGACTCACCTGTCTGTAATGTTCCAGGTGTTTAAGTACTTCAACAAGACCATGACTCACCTGTCTGTAATGTTCCAGGTGTTTAAGTACATCAGCTTCAACAAGACCATGACTCACCTGTCTGTTATGTTCCAGGTGTTTAAGTACTTCAACAAGACCATGACTCACCTGTCTGTAATGTTCCAGGTGTTTAAGTACTTCAACAAGACCATGACTCACCTGTCTGTAATGTTCCAGGTGTTTAAGTACATCAGCTTCAACAAGACCATGACTCAACTGTCCACGACCCTGAGCCGTTGCGCCAAAGACCTCCTGGGCTTCTTCATCATGTTCTTCATCGTGTTCCTGGCCTTCACACAGCTGGGTTATCTGCTCTTTGGCACACAGGTCAATGACTTCTGCACGTTCATGAACTCCTTGTGAGTGAGACTGTGGCACTGGATCAACAAGTTGCGATCTCATCTGGTTATTTTTGTTTTTGTTTTTAAAAATTTTTTCCCTTCAGGTTCTTATTCACTTTGGACAACGTGTGATCTGTTTTTGTTGATTTCTCCAGCAGGCCAGGACCAGTTTTTGGCTGCAGAGGGTGCCCAATTTTTCTTCATCATTCGTTTTTCAAGTCGTTCCTGACATATTTGTTCTCAGATTTTGTATTGTTTAAACATTTTGCCGTCACGATCGGTAATGTTTACCACCCAGTTTCTTTGGATTTTCCCCCAAATGTCTTTGCCTTTGATGGCATGGGTTTGTACTTTATGAGCTTTGGGATGGCAAAGTGTTAATGTATTTGTTTCTGACGTGCTTTCCTTCAGATCGTCACCTTGAGAGATACAGTGAAGTCCGCCTAAACGGAATGTAGTTAGTCCTAAAATAAAGACAAACCTACCCCATTCCTACCCCAGTGGGGCAGTGCTACTGACTGAAGTTGTCTTTAGGCCATTCCCAAAGGGGGGACATTAACATGTTTTTATACACAGTAGAATTGTAAATGGGTTGATTTATCAATGTCATGCTCATTCGTACTGTGCCAGAACAACATAGGGGGAACTGCTGCTTTTTCTTTCGTCATCCTTACTCATACTGTCGTCATTTTCCTCTACTTTTTTGTATGTTTGTCACACTCTTGTGACCCGCTATTTCTGGGGTGCCTTGATAATTGAAGCAGACTTTCTGCTGTTGAAGCTAGAGAGGAGAGCAGAGTAAGCCTGATTCCCTTTATGGACTTCTCTGTTGACGTCCACCCTTTGGCGCTCATATTATGACCTCTTCAGGTGCGAGCGCCTTAAAAAAAACTCTACTAAAAAAGAGACAGACCAAAAACTTCTATGAACTGAAAGCCCTGTTCAACTGAAGAAAATCCGGCATTCCCGTAGATTTTGGTTTAAGCAGACTCCATTGTAGTTTTTCTTCACTGATTTTGTGTACTTTTGAAGTTGTAACAAGAGGCGTTTGTTTTGTGACTCTGCTTTGATATATTATATTGTTGGCCTTCTCATTGTTCTTATCTCATTTTTATTTGTACAATTTGTCAATTACATGTCCTTAACATTGAGTAAGGTTGTATAGACTTTGTTGTTGTGGAAAGTCAGTTGAAAGATGCTGCTGATGTTACTGTCATTCCCACCCCAAAAGAAAACTGACAATATGTGAGGCGTGCTGACACGATGAGTTACTTCTTGCTATCCAAGACTGGAGATATTTGCCAAAAATCAACACTGTCGACAGATTTATAGATTTTCAATTGACGCAATTTTCTTCAAGTTTAACATGTCTTTAATTATTTCACACTTACAAATTGTACAAACTTCACCCAAACATTTGACGTACCAGTTTCCATAAGACTAAAATCTGAGAAGTGACTCATTTTGTCAGCACACCTCACATATCTTCCCCGAATATTGAATAAGATGATGATGATGATGATGATGATGATGATGATGATGATGATGATGATGATGATGATGATGATAATAATGAAGACGATAATGACGAGGATGTAAGTACTTATTTACTCCATCTTTTGTGGTCCTCCCCCACCCCCTCCCCTCCAGCTTCACCCTGTTCCGGATCATCCTGGGTGACTTTGACTTCCACCAGCTGGAGCAGGCCAATCGCATCCTGGGCCCCATCTTCTTCATGCTCTTTGTCTTCTTCGTCTTCTTCGTGCTCATCAACATGTTCCTGGCCATCATCAACGACACCTACTCCGAGGTCAAGTCCGACATGGCCAAGCAGACAGATGTCTTCATCATGTCGGATTACTTAAAGCAGGTGAGGGAATGGATGTGAGAATGGGATGGTCACTTTACTATGACTGAGAAACTGTTGGATTGAAGTCCACAGGGTAAGAGATCAAACGGAATGCAGGTGAGGAAATGAACATGAGAATAGGATGGTCACTATACTACGATTGAGAAAGTCGTGACCTCATGGCTTTCTTGTCCTATCTCCTTTTTTTTAAACAGTGAAAATGTGACATCTTCTTAAGCTCACTTTTTGTTATGGACTGTTTTCACTGTTATGAAAAATGGAGATACGACAAGAAAGCACTGGGGTCGCGAAGTGTTGGATTGGGGTCCACAAGGTAAGAGGTAAGGGAATGTGGGTGAGGGACCAGACCATCAAGGATTTATTTATAGAGGCAACAGCCATCCATGTCCAGGTGCTGTTTTAGCCTCGGGTGAGGGAATGAATATGAGAAATGGATGGTCATTTTACTGCTATGACTGAGAAAGTGTTGGATTGGAATCCACAGGGTAAGAGATCAAAGGGAATGCAGGTGAGAGAATGAATATTAGAATAGGATGGTCACTCTACTACTACTATGCTATGACTGAGATTATTGTGTTGCAAGTGCCGTAAAACACTTACTAAAACTAAAAACTAAAAAAAGTTCATATCTCCCCCACCCCTTTCTCTCCCCCACCCCCTTCTCTCCCCCTACCCCCTTCTCTTCCCCACCCCCTCTACATGTGACTGTCTGTCGTTTCCCCCAGACCTACGACAAGTTCTGGGACCGTCTGGTCACCACCAAAGAGAAGCTGGAGGGTTTTGAGAAAATACTGAGGACTGAAGGCTACAGTGAGAGAAGTGTGGACTTCAACGAATGGAAAACAGAGCTTGAGAAGTGAGTAGGAATTGGTGGCTTTCAAGGACAAGGGGGCTATCCCGAATAATGTTGTTTAGAGAAAATCAAAAGTAAAGTTTGTGCCCCTTGTTCAGTTTCTTTAAAGGACAAGGAGACTTTTCTTTATAACCAAACAAATATACACAACAATAAAACCAAACCTCTCCTATAGGTAGGGCAATGCCCACTTTTGGTGTGGGTCAAGATTTCTGGAAAGCCCCGAAATTTGGGTTAGCCCGCTTGTCCTTAAAAGCGACCAATTACCCCTGGAAAAACTGGTGCATGATGCTTTGTGAAACTGGTGTGGGATTGTTCCGTGTGGACGATAATGCTGCTGCAAACCTAAGGAGGGGGCTTTGTCTACAGCTCTCTGTCTACGGCAGGGCTCTCAGACACGTGACCCACGCGACAATGGCCGCCTGCCGGAAGATATTTTGAGGCCCATACTGGACAGGAAAGTTCTGCATTGATCCGGCCCGCATGTTTTGTATATGCGCCTTTTTGCAGAGAAGTTCCCTTGGACGTGTACATTTTTTTTTATCCCTTATGAGCATCAATGTGCTATAGCGTAGGTTCATGACAGGTCCCAGTGCCTTTGTTGACAAGTTTTAAACGTATTTTCAATGTTGTTGGCTTACTTTTAAAAATATAGGCCTACTTAAATTTTTTTTCGTTGTTGAATAAGTCTACTTGACGCAGGCTCATCCTGACTTTATCCCTTGTGACCCCAGGGTAATTTACGTTTGAAACTCGCTGATCTACAGCAGTATTGGGCAGAGGCTGTCTTTTCAATTTGAGCCAACAACACTAGAAACTTATGTTTTTATTGTCGTTGTTATCGATCCAGCAACAGCTGGGCTCTCGCCCGTCTGCCCAATGTCCAGGTTTGCTGCAGTTGCTGTAATGTTCCATAGAGTGTGTTGTCTATGTTAGGTCTCGGAGTGAGAAGGGTAGCTCTGATGTCATTTAGGGCTGTGCAGTGGAACAGGTGATGATCCACAGTCTAATATGCATAGTCACACAAGGGACACATTTGGGGAAGTTCTGATTTTTTTCTATTCAAGTGAAAGTTGAGCAGTATATGTTCTGTACTGGAAACTTGTAGATCTCAGTGAGTAGCCTATCGCAGTGCTGTGTGGTGGAAACAGATTCATAGAGACATAGTCAGCAAACCTGCTCTAACGGCCACCTGCCCAAGACAATCACCTGTACAGACGAACTCCCCCCCTCCTCCTCCTCCTCCCCCACACTTTTTCTATATTATAATGGCAGTTTTGGAGACGTCCACGTGTCTGAGACAAGCACTTTTCTCCTTGACAAAGGGTAGTCGTGGTGGACAATTTCCACTGTACGTCTTCAAGCACAAGGTCTCAAGGAGATCATTAGCATCATCATCATCATCATCATCATCATCATCATCATCATCATCCAGTACCAGATCTGCGACAGACATCGGCGACCATGGTTTTCCATTCATTCCTTTGCTCGGATGCTCTCAAAAAAGCTACATTTCCCTGATCTTTCCCTGTCACCCACTTGTTCAGGTTCCCTAAGTATGTTGTTCTGGGCCTACCCCTGCCCCAATCTTGCCGGTGAGAGCTAGATGATCAAGACCTTTATGTCTATTTAGGTGTCCTATTGACTGATGGTTTAACAGTGAGCGTCTCAAACAGATAGCGAAGATACTTTATCTGCCCCTATGCTCTCACAAAACCTATGTTGTCGTCATAGTCTTTTCCCATCACCCGTCAAATTCTCTCTTCTCCCACCGGGGCGGTGCCACTGACTGAAGTGCCTTTAGGCCATTCCCAAAGGGGGGGACATTAACATGTTCTTATGCACAGTAGAATCGTAAATGGGGTGGATGTCAACAGAGAAGTCCTTACAGGGAATCAAACTTACTCTGCTCACCTCTCTAGCTTCAACAGCACAAAATCTGCTTCGACTATCAAGGCACCCCGGAAATAGCAGGTCACAAGAGAGTGACAAACATACAAAAGAAGAAGAGGAAAAATGACGATAGTAGGATTAGAAAAGAAAAAGCAGCAGTTCCCTGTTGCAGTTCAGTCACAGTTATGAGCGTGACATTGATGAATTAGCCCATTTATATTTACAGTACAGTTCTACTGTGCATAAGAACTCGAGATGTTAATGCCGCACCCCCCCCCCCCCTCTGGGTATGGCTTAAAGACACTTCAGTCAGTAGCACCGCCCCGGGGGGTTGTGACGTCGGTGGCCTAGTGGTTAGGCTCTCGGACTCGCAACCGTAAGGTTGTGGGTTCGAATCCCGTCAGGGGCCCGACGTTGTGTCCTTGGGAAAGGCACTTTACATGAATTTTCCTCACTTCACCCAGGTGGGAATGGGTACCCGGCTATAGACAGAGAAAGATCTTGTCAGTTTGTTAGTGTTTGAGCGCTTAATCAGCTGCTTGCACTGTATGCTTCCCAGGAAGCTGAGAATGTTTCGGAGTGTTCTATGGTCAGCTGGGGTAATAATATAGTGTAAAGCGTCTAGAGCCTGCTGTTGAGCGGGGATATGCGCTATACAAATGCTATTTATTATTTATTTTTATTATTATTATTATTTCAGTAGTTTTTGTCTACTACAAGATGGATCTGTAAGCGTTGATGATGTGGTTTTTTTCTTCACAGGCAAGGGTACAATGAAGACGATATTGAAACGATATTTGTCAAATTTGACGTCGATGGAGATCGCACTCTGGACCCCTCGGAGCAAAAGAAAATGTTGGAGGAACTTGAAAAACAGAAGGTTTGGGGATCGGGGATTGTCCTTGTCTTGTCATTCCACTGGGTATATTTGGTTATTTGATTAGGTAGTTCCACTGGGTATATTTGGTTATTTGATTCGGTTGTTCCACTGGGTATATTTGGTTATTTGATTCGGTTGTTCCACTGAGTATATTTGATTATTTGATTCGGTTGTTCCACTGAGTATATTTGATTATTTGATTCGGTTGTTCCACTGGGTATATTTGATTATTTGATTCGGTTGTTTCACTGGGTATGTTTGATTTGTAATCCCTGCTTTTGCCAGTTTATAACCTCTATTTTTAAATCCCCCTTTTTGCCAGTTTGTAACCCCCTTTTTTTTAAAATCCCCCTTTTTTGCCAGTTTGTAAGTCCTATTTTTGCCAGTTTGTAAATCCTGTTTTTTGCCAGTTTGTAATCCCTGTTTTTTGCCAGTTTGTAATCCCTGTTTTTTGCCAGTTTGTAATCCCTGTTTTTTGCCAGTTTGTAATCCCTGTTTTTGCAATCCGTGTTGTTGCCAGGGCGCAATGGATGGTGGGAAGAAAAAGAGTTCTGCTCTCGTCACGACGTTCGGCGACCAGGAGGAGGGGGAGGACAGTGACGAGGAAGGCATAGGAGGCACCAAAGAGTTTGTTCCCTTCGACGAGTTTGTGGTGAGTGTCTGTCGCAATGAGTGGTCGTTTTAGTTTAGGGAAGATGGACTGAATCACAGCTGATGTAGGATAGAGGGGTCTTTTTAGTTGTAGTAGAAGTTTTACGGCGCTCGCAACTGCATAAGGTCATATGAGCGCCAGAATATTAGAGGTGTTACAAGAGAGTAACAAACATAAAAAAGAAGAAGGGGAGATAAGGACGATAGGTGTTTGATAGGAAAGAAGAAGCAAACCACACCAGAGCGCCCGCCAACCACCCTCGTATAGGGGTCTACCCTGAAACAGAAAAATCTATACAGTATAACACAGATAGCTCGAACTTGTGGGGAATGGCCTCGGTAGTTCCAGAGATATCTTACAAAGATACAGAAGAGAATGGAGAAAAAAAACGGGATCGCAGGCACAATTCGACGGATGCGTGATTTCGAGTCTTCTGTGTTCGACATCTCCGTGTTATACTGAAGATAACAATAATGAAGTGGACCTTTTTTATACTGTCCGTCCAAAAGTTGCTCTCTGGACACTTCACAATTTTCACTTTCCCATAATGAAACTGAATGTTCAATTTAAATACTACTACATGTACGGCATAATAGCTAGTTAATTTAGTCTGACCGGCGTTAAAAAAATTCTAGCTCACTGAGGAATTTAACTATGCCCCCGAAACTTTGCATGGCATTTCTGCAGGCCAACTTCCTAACAAAAATATATTTTTAAAAATCTTGACCCAGTAATAAAAAAAGTTTTTCTCTTTGGGCCCTGTTTTAAAAACCGCTCTTTGTGTGCTTACACAGGATCACTAAAATAAATGACTTACAGTAGCCTAACCTTGCCAACAAATTGCTCATTTTGAGACAGCGACACCACCCTGCCCCCACATTTCAGTGTAAGCTTGCAGATTTTATCCCCCGGCTGTCAAGACGTCTCCACGTACTCCACGTGAGTCTCCACAATTAATCGCCCCGTCTCTTGAATTTACTAAAACAAGTAAAACTCTGACTAAAACAAGTAAAGTAAAACTCTTACTGAAACAAGTAATAATCTTACTAAAACTGCACTGACCCTTTTGTACGCGGACTCTCTCCCTCCCCCCCTCTCCCTCTCCCCTCCCCTGTCACTCCCCCCTCTCCTCCCCACCCCTCTCCCCCTACCATTTCCCCCCTCCTCCTCCCCACCTTCCACCCCTCCTCCTCCTCTCTCCCCTCCCCCCCACCCCTCCTTCTCTCTCCCCTTCCCCCCACCCCCCCTCCTCTCCCCCCTTCTTTCCCCCCTCCCCTACTCCCCCCAGTCTCTGGTTCGCCGCGTGGACCGTATGGAGGGCACCATGGGTGGGATCATCACTAACATCGATGCTGTCCTCGCTCAACTGGCCACACTCAAGGTGAGGGAGAGAGAGGGGGAGGGAGAGACAGAGGGGGAGGGGAGAGAGAGAGAGAGGGGGAGGGGAGAGAGAGAGAGGGAGGGGAGAGAGAGAGAGAGGGGGAGAGAGAGAGAGAGGGGGAGGGGGAGAGAGAGAGAGAGAGAGAGAGAGAGAGAGCAGCGGGGGAATTGTGCGGGCTGAGAGCGCTCCTTAAGAATGTTATAATATGGTCACTTTTAAGCACAACGTGGCTATCCCGAAAAATACTGTTTTGAGAAAATCGAAGGAAAAGTTTTTGCCCCTTGTTTAGTTTCTTTAAAAGACAAGGAGAGTTTTCTCTACTATAACAATTAATATACAGACTGTAACACACCAATGAATCCAAACTTCTCCTACAGATAGAGCAATGCCTACTTTTGGTGTAGGTCAAAATTTCTGGAAACCCCCGTAATCTGGGTTAGCCCGTTTGTCCTTAAAAGTGACCATATAATCTTACGCCTGGAGGGGGAAGGGGGGGGGGGGGGGGGTGGACTTTGGGGGTCATGAACCTGTCCTATGTAATATCACACTTTTGGAAGGTGAAAAAATTACAAAGAAAAAAATGTATATCAACAATTATTTTTTTTAACCAACATAAAAAGAGAGTGAACTTTTCACTCAGAGCGGTAAGCCTGGCACATGCCGTGACGATACAACTGCCGTGCCAAGGCAGAACGACGTATCTGCAAAAACTATTAATTTTTATTCCTTCGTTTAAATGGACGCCTATACCCATTTTGCATCTTGTGTCAAAGGAAGGAAGACGTATCTGCGCTACAAATAGGAGATTTCACTATGGCAAACAGACGTATCTGCACTACAAATAGGAGATTTCACTACGGCAAACAGACGTAACTGCACTACAAATAGGAGATTTCACTACGGCAAACAGACGTATCTACACTACAAATAGGAGATTTCACTACGGCAAACAGACGTATCTACACTACAAATAGGAGATTTCACTACGGCAAACAGACGTATCTCCACTACAAATAGGAGCTTCCACTATGGCAAACAGACGTATCTGCACTACAAATAGGAGATTCCACTATGGCAAACAGACGTATCTGCACTACAAATAGGAGATTCCACTACGACAAACAGACGTATCTGCACTACAAATAGGATATTTCACTACGACAAACAGACGTAACTGAAGGGCCCATATTTCCAATGGCAGCGCGGCGCGTAATTCAAAATCTTATAAAGTGCAGATACGTCGCTCTGCCTTGGCACGGCGGAGTAGGTCCTGGAGCGGCAAGCACGGATAAGCCATCTCGCACTTTGTACACGGGTAGTGGCAGATATCTAGACTAACATACTGCAACTACAACTACAAGACATGGAGATCTAGTCTAATTTGGATGTCACTTTCCTCCCTCCCCCCCCCTCTCTACAGTACTGAGCCAGAAGAACCAGCAAGCCATGTCAGGTTTTGGCGGGCTTTGGAGCTCTTTGCCATCGGCTGCTGGTAGCTTCCAAAACGATGTGAGGAGCAAGAGATGTAGCGAGCAGTCTACATGATTCCGTTTTGCATTGCGTTTTAAATGTACTTTTAATTTTAAAGTGTTTCGATTTTTAGCATTGTCAGATATATTTTGGTTAAAAAATTGGCGGTTTTTAAGTTTTTCCCTTTGCTGTTGAGAAAGGCTGCTTTCCAAGTTTGTTCTAAATGTTCACCTTTGAGCAGGTAAAGTTAAAGGTTAAGTTCCCATATCCGATTTGGACAATGGGGATTCTCTTGTTAGTGAGACAACTTCCTGGGCCTTCGGCATATTGTGGTAGGGTGGCCAGTTCCTTTCCACGCCGCCTTTACTTTCCCAACTCGAAGTCAGGTACCCATTACTGCTGGGTGGGCAGGAGGGGGCGAAAAAAATCTGTGTCTGAACCGAGGCTCGAACTCGGACTTTCCACTTCGGAGACGAGCGCACTAACCGCTCTGCCACTGTTCACTGTTGTGACGTATGGTGCTACTTCAAGTTGAAAGGGAGCATGTTTTCAGAAAAAAAAGAAACTAAAGTTATAATGACGTTGTGACAAATCTGCTTCACTGTCGTTGTTGATCTATTTTATCTGGTACTTCTTGTTCTCATTTGTTTGGTGCAGGAATTCAGGCATTTCAGGAATTAAAATATTTTTTGGCCCTCTTAATATTTGTCACTGTGTGTTTGTGACTATTGCTGTAAGATGATCAAATCTGTCCGTGAGTGAACCGTTCTAGTGAGTGCTCAGTCAGGGAGCTGCCAGATGAAAAAGAGTCTTATAGTTACTGACAGTATGGGAAAGAGGAGAGAGGTGGGATCTCACAGGTTCACACTCAGTCTTCTGTTTTTGATGAAAGCAGAAAGGATAATCGTTTATCTACCAAATTAGGTCAAACATGTTTTTGGAGGGGAGGGGTGGGGTGTTTTTTTTCTCATTTTATCTTCCAGAATTACTCAGCATTTTGTGAGTTGAAGAGTGTTCCATGTACTTATTATAAGATTCTCGTATGACCAGTTGTATGAGTATGAGCAGTTGTGAATGTCAGGATTTCAGACAAGAGAAGTGTGCGACCACATTTGGGGGATACAGGGTTAGAGTCGTAGACAGACGATATACAGCGTGATAGGAAAGAGGAATGGACAGACAGCACACTAGATCTACATGTATTAGTCATTGAGGGGTCAGGAGACAACCACTGCAGGTTCTAGTTCTATTCTTTCAACATTTTATACACGTATACGTAGATCATCCACCTCTCGAACAGACAGCCCACGCACAAAATATGGACCAATTCTTTATTGCATTTTCTAAATCTGTGGTATTGGCTGCATATGCTCAAGAAATATGAGGGGGTGAGATGCAAAACCCGCTATGTGACATTTTGACAAAAGTGGAGATTGTTTATTACATCTATCAGATGCGCAAAGTGTTTTCGGCCAAAACCTCACGTCGCTGGCCTAGTGGTTAGGCTCTCGGACTCGCAACCGTAAGGTCGTGGGTTCGAATCCCGTCACGGGCCCGACGTTGTGTCCTTGGGAAAGGCACTTTACACGAATTTTCCTCACTTCACCCAGGTGGGAATGGGTACCCGGCTATAGACAGCGAAAGATCTTGTCAGTTTGTTAGTGTTTGAGCGCTTAATCAGCTGCTTGCACTGTATGCTTCCCGGGAAGCTGAGAATGTTTCGGAGTGGTCTATTGTCTGCTGGGGTCGCATAGAGCCTGCTGTTGAGCGGGGATATGCGCTATACAAATGCTATTTATTATTATTATTATTATTATTAACACATACTTAAAAAAAGCCACCCTCCAAAAAAATCTTTTTACGCATGTTTGTGCGTACAGCAGCATTAATAAAAAATTTAAAAAAGCTGATTTTCTCAAAAGTGCTGAAATGGATGAAGCAGGCTTTGCATCTCAGCCCCTCGTATGTTGTTAAAATTCAAATTCTAAGCTGAAAAAGGGGCAAAGGTGAAAAAGAATTATAGTTTTTTTTTCAGTCCCTAAAAATGTTGCTTTCTGGGCTTAGAATCTAGATCTATATGTACAGCTTGCCAACGATATATCGCATGATAGAAAAGGTAGCCTATATGTGAGGCATCGAGATGAAATCAGGCGTTTGTCAAAATAATGACATCAAAGAAACTGGTATTTTTCTCCAGTTCGGCAATTTTTATTTTAAAAAATTTTTTCCGCTCAACACCGTTTAGGTCCATATTATATATTAGATTCTATATAAAAACACATTTCCATGTACATTTTTACTGAAAAACGTCGATTAATGGCACACAAAAATGTAAATTTTCAGTTTTAAAGGACAATCGAACTCTTATAGAAGTTACCAAACTTTGGCGGCCATTTTCTCGATGATTTTACCCCTGAAACCATGCTACCCCCACCTCCGTCAATGACAAATGTTTCGACTTCTATTCAATATAGATGGGTGCGTTTTTTTACATTGAAAGCAAGACAAATGAATAAGCTTTCAGATGATACCAGTAACTCCACAGTTCCAGCAATTGACGAGCGCCTGATTCCACCACGTCATGACATATAATATGGGAACACAGCCTGTATATGCACTGTCAGACCGAAGGGCTAGAACCCAAATGGCCGCTGGATCGGAAAAGTAAAGTAAAGTATATGCACGGCTGATTTAATGACAAGAGACAGCCATTGGTCTCCTTCTCTCATAACACACATCCTCGTCCCCCCAGCCAGCTGCTCAGACTCAGATAGCCCACGTCCTACATTTGGACAAATTGTTTCATTGCCGCTTCTTAATCTGTGGGTAGCTGTTGCACGAGCCCACAAAATATTTACAGGTCATTTGTCGAAATTCAAATTCTATATGTGAAGCGTGCTGGCAAAATGAGTGACTTCTCGCAATCCACAAAGGGAGATGGTGGCCAAAAATCAACACTCTAAGATCAAATTAGATTTTCTATAGATGCCCTATTCCTTATGTATAACATGCCTCTTGATATTTCCTACTTATAAATTGTAAAAACTCCACCTACAATAAGTGTGAAGTATCTATTTCTGTAAGGCTTGATTGAATCCGGGAAGTAACTCATTTAGTCAGCACACCTCACATATGTCCAAATGTTGGCAGGGAAAAAAAGCAAGACATTTATGTTGAAAAACAGTTCTTAAAAGAATGAAACATTTTTTTCCTCTCTCTTGTAAAATGTTTCTTTCTGGGCTTCTTTTTTTTCGTAAGAATTTTAGTTACGGCACTCACAACACGATAAGGTCATACAAGTGCCGAAAATTAGAGGTGTTACGAGAGAGTAACAAACACAAAAAAGGAGGAAGAGAAATCAGGATGGTAGACGTTTGGTAGGAAAGAAGAAGCAAACCACACCAGAGCATCCGCCAACTTAGGGACTTTAAGCGTGTGAGACAAAAAAATCATCAGAAGAGCGAAACTGATACATGTACCATGCTGGGGTGTTTATTCTCAAGAGTATTGGAAGAAAAAAAATGTTGAAACTAAATCATGTGAGAAACATTTTATATAATGTACAAGAACAAAGACGGGGTGATCTGCATAGGTTGACAAAGAAGTACATGTCATACTTTCACATAAATGCATGTAATGAAAGCTCATCTGGTTTGCTGAGATCAGAGAAAGCTGACAGTTGACGGTACAGACAGTTGAAGTTCATCAGTTCTGGTCAAGGTCTCCAGCCACTGAATCAAGTACCGACTGTATATTATATACACTCGCCTTTCTTATGATCAGATGTGATTATTTTTTCCCTTAGAAGTAGCTAGTGGAAGCTAAGAAATGAGTTTTAAAAAAGCTGTGAACATTGAACTACTGGATCCCCCATCGACAGTTTAAATCAGTTAGCGACTCTGTCTGTCGTCAGGGCCAACCTGTGCTGAGAGAGATACAACATCCCAGCAGAAAGACCGAGATAATCGATAAAAATTCTCCCCTCCCCACTCGGGACTTGAACTCGTGTCTCCTGTGTGTGACGGTGAAGCAACTAACCGCTCGACCACAGACGCTGCTGCCAACCCTTGACGTCAGGGCTCCTATTGTGAAAATTGTCATAACAGAACCACATTATCTTACATGACAATACTGACATGTCGTGTTCTCAGAGTGGGTATAGTAACTGATGGGCGTGACAATATTTCTTTCTAAAGCAAGGTTATGTCATGCCAAACATCAACAGTGACTCTTTAGTTTGGTTTTAGTAGAGATTTTACTGCGCTCTCAACTGCATGAGGTCATATGAGCGCCAAGGGGTGGATGTCAAAAGAGAAGTCTTTATAGGGAATCAGACTTACTCTGCTCACCTCTCTATAGCCTCAACAGCACAAAATCTGCTTCGACTATCAATGCACCCCGGAAATAGAGGGTCACAATAGTGTGACAAACATACAAAAGAAATAGAGGAAAAATGACGATAGTAAGGATGAGGAAAGAAAAAGCAGCAGTCCCCTCGAAGTTGTTTCGGCACAGTATGAGCATGACATTGATCAATCAGCCCATTTACAATTCTACTGTGCATAAGAACATGTTAATATCACCCCTTTGAGAATGGCCTAAAGACAACTTCAGTCAGTAGCATTGCCCAGGGGGGGGGGGGGGGGGGGTGTCAAAACCTGCATGAATGTGTTCCTATAACGTGAGACCCACTAATGGTGTACTAGAACAAGGTAGTACTAGGCTGGACCAACAAACATCCACAAGGTGCAGTAAGATTAATAATAATAGATAGCATTTGTATACCGCAAATCCCTGCTCAACAGTAAGCTCTATGCGCTTCACAATCTATACTATTATCCAAGCAGACCTGAGAGCATTCTGAAACAACCTCAACTTCCTGAGAAGCATACAGTGCAAGCAGCCATTTATAGGCGCTAAATACACTAGTCACTAACTAAGATGAACCACCACCGGTACATAATTGGTGAGGACGGATTACATGTATTTCATGTATTTCACAACTAAATTTTTATTCAAAAGTATGAGAATGATACATTCAATTACCGAATGGCATCATGCAGAAGAGTTAACGCTCAGATGCTACTGGATCGCTAACAACAACAACATACATTCAATTGTCCACAGGTGAAATCAAACAGTTTCAACACAGCAGTACCTGTGTTACACATAGAAAATGGTTGCCCTGCCAATACATAATGAACTCTCCGTCTCCTGTAAGATTTACAGTTTACAGTCACTGAGTTAGCCATTTAGAATCCTACAGTGATAACGTTGTACGTGTTTCAGCGTATATCTATCTATCTATCTATCTATCTATAGCTCTCGTGGGACGCTCAATGTTAAAAACAATCAAGAAACGTCAAATGCAGTTTTTGGGACACCTGAATAGGCATAAGGGTCTTGAACATCTAGCTCTCACTGGCAATATTGAGGGCAAACGAGGCAGGGGTAGGCCCAGAACAACATACTTTTAATTAGGGAACCTAAACAAATGGGTAACAGAGAAAGATCAGGGAAACGTAGCTTTTTTGAGAGCATCCGAGCAAAGGAATGAATGGAGAACCATGATCGCCGATGTCTGTCGCAGATCTGGCACTGGATGATGATGATATATTTATATATATATATATATATGTATATATATATATATATACACATATATATATACATATATATATATATCCGAGCCAGAAGAAATA